GGGGCAAGAAGAAGCTTGCAATCTGCTTCTGCACTAACCACATCCTATAGAAAGCTACAACCAATCATATGTTAAAGACGCTACATTAGGACTTATTCTACCCTGCAACTAAATGTAACCAATTATGTATTGACAACTGTACTTCCTCATGTATGTACTGAATAAAGGGGGGCCTCAGAGCACACTCTGAGTCCACTCACCTCGAGGAGATTTCTGCGTGTCTCTTCCTTTTCTGGCTTGTCATCGCTTGCTAGGATTCATGAGTGACCCACCTTAATGTGGCACTTGACTCCCTCATCTTTGGGGCAGCCCCTCAAATATTGGACGGCTGCTATCCTGTCCCCCCTTGTCCTTCTCTTCATTAGACTAGACATTCCCAATTCCAGCAACCGTTCCTTATATGTTTCAGCCTCCAGTCCCCTGATCATCTTTGTTGCTCTTCTCTGCATTCTTTCTAGAGTCTCAATAACAACATCTGTCAAGGTTCCGACCGACGAACCCAACCAAGCAAACACCTTTGAGACATTCCAATCTCTTAATATAAAACTTTATTGAATACATCACTTTGGCATGTATGAAAGCAAAACCAGCTCTAGCAAACCCCAAACCCCAACCCCATATAGTAAAAGAACAGAATTTCCCCTCCCATCCACAAACAAATCACATTGCCCAATGCGGTGCGATTATATTGTTATGAGAAGATGTCTCTGAGTCGGGTCAGGCATCTGGTGAATCGTCCTTGATTCTCACGGTCTGCCTTTTTTATCTTTGTAGCCTGCGTTCCAATTCCCCATCCTCCCCCCCCCCCCCAAATTCGTTGGCAAGCTAAGAAGCAATAGTTGCAGCAGCAAAGCGAGCTATGATTTGGGCAACTTGATCATGACGTTGTAGATAACCGGTTTGTGAGATTTTTTTGGCTGCAGCCACTGATAAAAGTGATCCCCTGTTTCAGATTTCTCATCGTGTAAGTGACAGTTGCTGTTGTTGCTGACATTTTGAATTTTTGCTTTCATGGAATTGGTCTGCAGGTCTGCTTGTTCTTGGGCAGCCAAAATGAAGCCTTCAGTTTCTTTCTTCAGCACCCCAGATCTCAACCGTCTCCATGATAGCTTTGTATCTACCTTTCCTGCAGGTCTGCTTGCTCTTGGGCAGCCAAAATGAAGCCTTCAGTTTCTTTCTTCAGCACCCCTGATCTCAACCATCTCCACGTTAGCTTTGTATCTACCTTTCCTGAAGGTCTGCTTGCTCTTGGGCAGCCAAAATGAAGCCTTCAGTTTCTTTCTTCAGCGCCCCTGATCTCAACCATCTCCACGTTAGCTTTGTATCTACCTTTCCTGAAGGTCTGCTTGCTCTTGGGCAGCCAAAATGAAGCCTTCAGTTTCTTTCTTCAGTGCCCCTGATCTCAACCATGTTAGCTTTGTATCTATCTCTCCTTCAGGGACATTGTTATTATTATTGTTATTAATTTCTTTTTTGGCAGGGTTGTGATTCCTTGGCCCAGACGCAACGCACCAGGCTGCAACACCGCCGTGCAAGAATCAACCAGCAGATCAACAAAGAGATGAGGATGAGAACCGGCGCAGAGAATCTGTTCAGGTTTGTGTGGGCTAAATTAGCATCATAAAGGCGATTGTGAATCATGCGATTCGCAGCAATAAGACAAGTCACTAGAAGAGGTAAACAAGGATTGTTTTGCTTGCTTGAAGAGTGAAAAACCAAAAGCTGCAACTTTGGGGCAGGTGGTATGCAACGTTTTAATTAAAGGGCCGGCTGGGGCCCCCCCCACACCCTCTTTTCTGTCTGATGCTCAGCATTTTGTGGCTGCTTGGTGTTCACAAACTAAGAAAAGGGAGAAAAGAAAAACATTTGTAGAGTCACAGCAATGCGCACAACTGCCTTCACACCCACCTAGTCCAAAGGAGGGAGATGTTGGTTTAAAACATTCAAAATGTCCATTTTGGAGAGGTCTATGCACTTAAAAAAAACCCACCCCGTTTATATCAATGTCTTCATTGAAAGCTTTTTCAAGATTCGTTGCCATTGTGCCATTCTCAACCAGTGCAATTTCTGAGAGTTAAATAGGAGCAAAACCGTGTGCTGCAGCTGCCAAAAAAGCCAACACAATAATAGGCTGCATTAACAGAGGGATAGAATCAAGATCAGGTGAAGTGTTGATATCACTTTACAAGGACTTGGTAAGGCCACACTTGGAATCCTGCATCCAGTTTTGGTCGCCACGACATAAAAAAGATGTTGAGACTCTAGAAAGAGAGCAGAGAAGAGCAACAGAGATGATCAGGGGACTGGAGGCTAAAACATACAAGGAATGGCTGCTGGAATTGGGTATGTCTAGTTTAATGAAGAGAAGGACAAGGGGGGACATGATAGCAGTGTTCCAATATCTCAGGGGCTGCCCCAAAGAAGAGGGAGTCAAGCTATTCTCCAAAGCACCTGAAGGCAGGACAAGAAGCAATGAATTGAAACTAATCAAGGAGAGAAGCAACCTGGAACTAAGGAGAAACTTCCTGACAGTTAGAACAATTAACCAGTGGAACAACCTGCCTCCAGAAGCAGTGAATGTTCCAACACTGGAAGTTTTTAAGAAGAGACTGGACAACCATTTGTCTGAAATGGTATTGGGTTTCCTGCCTGAGCAGGGGGTTGGACTAGATGACTTCCAAGGTCCCTTCCAACTTTATTATTATTATTATTATTATTATTATTATTATTATTATTATTATTATTATTATTATTATTATTATTATTATTAACAAAGTTTGGGATGGCAACCAAGGAGAAAGCAAAGTTCCCTTCTTGGACCTCCGGCCATAATTTTGTAACTTGTCAACAGTGTTTTTATCTCCGTCACAATCCACCCATCCATCAGAATAGAGCTGCAAGGGACCTTGGAGATCTTCTAGTCCAACCCCCTGCTCAAGAAAGAGACCCTATTCCAGTTCAGAACAAATGGCTGTCCAGTCTCTTCTTAAAAGCCTCCAGTGTTGGAGCACCCACAACGTCTGGTGGCAAGCTGTTCCACTGGTGAATTGTCCTCACTGTTAGGAAGTTTCCCCTTAAATCCAGGTTGCTTCTCTCCNCCCCCCCCCCCCCCCCCCCCCGGTCCTTCTTCTCTCTAGACTGGCCATACCCAAATCCTGCAACTGTTCTTCATATGTTTTAGTCTCCTGGCCTTTAATCAGATTTTTTTGGCTCAGCCTGAACGGAAACGCCGAGCCTTGCAAATGGCAGTTTCCAGGGTGCTTCCCCCTCCTGTGACACACCGGGCTGTGACGCTCCTGTGTTGGGGCATGTCAGTTTCCCAGCCCAACAGCTGTCCAAACAAGATTGCTGAGATTGTATCAGGTGGGACCCATCACTGGTGCTAGAGGAGGAGGTCTCACCCTTAATTTAATGAGCCGTTAAAAGCTGCCAGGGAGTAGAGAGTGGGGGGGGGGGGGAAATGCAAGTAGTTCATTGGTCTAGAATTGGAAAGACGGAATCTCGGCGGTTGTTAATAATAATAATAATAATGATAAAGTTGGAAGGGACTTTGGAGGTCATCGAGTCCAAACCCCTGCTCAGGCAGGAAACCCTATACCATTTCGGACAAATGGCTGTCCAGTTTCTTCTTAAAAACTTCCAGTGTTGGCGCATTCACCGCTTCTGGAGGCAGGTTGTTCCACTGGTTAATTGTTCTCACTGTCAGGAAGTTTCTCCTTAGTTCCAGGTTGCTTCTCTCCTTGGTGAGTTTCCATCCGTTGCTTCTTGTCCTGCCTTCAGGTGACTTTGGAGAATAGCTTGACTGCCTCTTCTTTGGGGCAGCCCCTGAGATACTGGAAGACTGCTATCATGTCCCCCCTCGTCCTTCTCTTCATTAAACTAGACATACCCAATTCCAGCAACCATTCCTTATATGCTTATATGCTTCTGGAGGCAGGTTGTTCCACTGGTTAAAGCGGATCACGCGGTCTTTTAGCCAACCCAGCTTCCCCCATTGATTTTCCTTATCAGAAGCCAGGTGGGAAAGTTGCCGATGGGGAATCACGTGACCCTGGGATGCTGGATATGATGCCAGTGGCCAAGCACCGTAATTTGGAACCCAGGACCGTGGAGAGCATCCTTACAACCGTTGTGGTGCAAGGAGACTTTTATAAGTCCTTGCACTACAAAAAAAAATCACATCACATTTTTGCACATGGCAAAAAAGATGGTGAGACTTTGGGAAACGTGCAGAGAAGAGCAACTAAGATGTCCAAAAGCCTGGAGACTAAAATATACAAGGAACGGCTACGGGACTTGGGTTTGGCTGGTTTAAAGAAAAGAAGAAATAGGGGAGACATGATAGCAGCGTTCCAATATTTGAGGGGCTATCACAAAAAAGAGGGGGGTCACGTTATTCTCCAAAGCACCAGAGGGCAGGACAAGAATCAATGGTTGGAAACTGACCAAAGAGAGAAGCAACCTGGAATTAAGGAGAAACTTCCTAACAGTGAGGACAATTAACCAGTGGAACAGCTTGCCACCAGAAATCGTGGGCGCTCCATCACTGGAGATTTTTAAGACAAGACTAGACAGACACTTGTCTGAAATGGTATAGGTTCTCCTGCTTGAGCAGGGGGCTGGACTAGATGACCTCCAAGGTCCTTTCCGGCTCTCTTCTCATATATATACTTTTTTCACTGCTGTTGTATTGGGGCGGTCACTAAATGAACCATCGTAAGTCGAGGCCTCCCTGTGTGACTCTCTCCTACTCAGATTGCATCGTAGGGTTCTTATTAAGAAAAACGCAAGAGCTCTCCAACCGCATACAGGGAGTCCTCGGCTTACGACCGCACCGGAGCTCCAGTTTTCCGTTGTTAAGCGAGGCATTGCTCCAGCGGAATTTTACCCCGTTTTGCGACCTTTTCTGGCCTCGGTTGTTAAGTGAATCACTGCCGTGGATAAGTTAGCCACCCCGTTGTTAAGTGAAGCCGGCTTCGCCACGGACGTTGCCTGTCAGGTGGTCACAAAAAGGGGAAATCACGTGATCTTGGGGTGCAGAGGTGCAGTACAAAATGGAGCCCAAGATTTCTGCTCTTAAGTGAGACGTTTGTTGGGTGAGTTTCGCCCCGTTTTACGACTTTACTTGCCCCCGGTTGTTAAGTGAATCGCCGCAGTGGCTAAATGAGTCACACGGTCGTTAAGCGAATCTGGCTTCTCCCCCCACTGGCTTTGCTCGTCAGATGGTTGCAAAAGGGGATCGCAAGGACCCCGGGACACTGCAAACCGTCGTAAGCAACCTAGAACTAAGGAGAAACTTCCTGACAGTTAGAACAATTAACCAGTGGAACTCCTTGCCTCCAGAAGCGGTGAATGCTCCAACACTGGAAGTTTTTAAGAAGAGACTGGACAGCCATTTGTCCGAAATGGTATAGAGTTTCCTGCTTGAGCAGGGGGTTGGACTAGATGACCTCCAGGGTCCCCTCCAACTTTACTATTATTATTATTATTATTATTATTATTATTATTATTATTATTATTATTATTATTATTATTATTATCATTATTATTATTATTACTACTACTACTACTACTATTACTATTACAATTATTATTAATAATAATAATAATAATAATAATAATAATAATAATAATAATAATGGTAGTAGTAGTAGTAAAAAGTTGGAAGGGAGCTTGGAGGTCATCTAGTCCAACCCCCTGCTCAGGCAGGAAACCCTATACCATTTCAGACAAATGGCTGTCCAATCTCTTCTTAAAAACTTCCAGTGTTGGAGCATTCACCGCTTCTGGAGGCAGGTAGTTCCACCAGTTAATTGTTCTCACTGTCAGGAAGTTTCTCCTTAGTTCTAGGTTGCTTCTCTCTTTGGTTAGTTTCCATCCGTTGCTTCTTGTCCGGCCTTCAGGCGCTTTGGAGAACAGCTTGACTGCCTCTTCTTTGGGGCAGCCCCTGAGATATTGGAAGACTGCCATCCTGTCCCCACTCGTCCTTCTCTTCGTTAAACTGGACATACCCAGTTCTTCTTCTTCTTATTATTATTATTATTAGTAGTAGTAGTAGTAGTACCAGTCAGTTGCCCAGCGTCTGAATTCTGATCACAGGGAACGTTGCAAAGGCCGCGACTTTGAAAAACATTTCCTATTTTTTCCATTCCGTTGTGACTTTGAACGTCACTAAGCGAACCATCATAAGTCGAGGACTGGCTGTAGAGAAGCGGTATAAGTCATTTTTTTTCCTCTTCTTTTTTCCCTTTGGTCTCTAGGGCCACCCGCAACCACAAAGTCAAGGAGACGGTTGCTCTGGAACTCAGCTACGTCAACTCCAACCTGCAGCTGCTCAAGGAGGAACTGGAAGAACTGAACAGCTGCATGGAAGTCTACCAGAATGACAGGTTAGAGATGATTGGCACCTGTCCATTTGGGGAGGGAAAAGTTCCGGAGGTGGATCGTCAGGGAAAAGGGAAATGAAATTGCCCTCTGCTATGTCAAAACATTCGGTCAGAGCATGCAGAGTCTGACTTTTGATCACGTGATCCTTGGGGACGCTGCGACCGTCATAAATATGAGTCAGTTGCCAAGTGGCTGAATTTTGATCACGTGACCCCGGGGACGGGGCGACCGTCGTAAATATGAGTCAGTTGCCAAACGGCTGAATTTTGATCACGTGACCCCGGGGACGCTGCGACCGTCGTAAATATGAGTCAGTTGCCAAGTGGCTGAATTTTGATCACGTGACTCTAGGAATGCTGTGAAAAAGTGTGAAAAACGGTTGTAAGCCACTTTTTTTAGTACAGTCACTAAATGAACTGTTTTAAGTTGAGGACCACCTGTAATTGAACGCTCTCTCTCTCTCTCTCTCTCTCTCTCTCTCTCTCCCAGTGACTCAGTTAGCGTCCCAATGATCCCGCTGGGGTTGAAGGAGACCAAGGAACTGGACTGGGCATCTCCTCTGAAGGTAACTTCCAATTTCCTAAAACTGAGATCGATAGAATTGAGGGAAGCTGTTTTACACGTAGCCCCCGACTTGCAACGGCTCATTTAGTGACCGTTCAAAGTTACGACAGCACTGGAAAAAACGAATTAGGACCCGCTTTTCACACATAACGACCGTCGCAGCATCGCCCCGGTCCCGTGATCAAAATTCAGATGCTTTGCAACTGGCTCATACTTATGACGGTCGCAGCATCCCAGAGTCGTGTTTTGCGAACTTTTGACATGCTAAAATCAACGGGGGAAAGCCACTTTCGCTTAACGACCGTGTTACTAGCTTTTTGTTTTGGTTTATCGGAAGCCGGCTGGCAGGGGGGTAAGTGGCTTCACTTGAACCCAGGACCCTGCCATCGTGGCGAATCCATGCCGTTTGTCCAGAATTTCAATCCCAGGGCCGTGGGGACATTGCCGCGGCCGTAAATATGAGGACGCGTTGTCAGTCGCCATTTTTCAGCACTAACCTAAGATGGCACAATTGCTAAATGGACGGTCGTAAGTCAGGGACTGACCTGTAGGTCTCTTAGACGTGGGTGAAATGTTCCTAGATCAGTTATGTACAGGGAGTCCTCAACTTACAACGGTTTCATTTAGTGACCGTTCAGTTACGACGGCACGGAGAAAAAAAAAGCCACTTAGGATCGTTGTTCACAGGATTCCCCAGGATGAAAATTGGGACGTTTGGCAACTGACTCGTGTTTATGACGGTTGCAGCGTCCTGGGTGATTCCCCCTTTTGTGACCTTTCGGCAGTGGGGAAGCCAGATTCGCTTAACGACGGGGTGATCCACCGCCACGATTCGCTTAACAAGCGTGGCAAGAAAGATCCCAAAATGGGACAAAACTCATTTCGCTAACGTCTCGCTTAACGACAGAAACGCCACTGCGGTCGTAAGCCGAGGACTGCCTGATTTCGGAGGACTTTAAGGTGGCCTTGAAAGTGGGAATTTCAGGCGACTGACAGACTAAAGTGTGTTATTTTCGACACAACTCCAGGCCGTGATTAAAGACCACTACAATGAAGAGGAAGACTCCTACAAGGAGGAGCTGAAAGCCCTTGTGGATTTACGCCAGGTAGGTGTGACCTTCGAGGAAGAGGAGTTGGGGGGCAAAGGCGCCTGGCCTGGGTGTGTACAGGTAGTCCTCGACTTAACCATGGTTCGTTTAGTGACCGTTCAAAGTTACAACGGCGCTGGAAAAAAAAGGGATTGACGATCACTTTCACACTTACGACGTCGTAGAATTCCCCAGGATCACGTGATTTATATTCAGAGGACAAGGGACTCACACTTATGACGGTTGCAGTGTCCCCCGGGGTCACGTGATCCCCTTTTTTGCGGCCTTTTGACCGAGCAAAGTCCGTGGGGGAGACGCCGGATTCATTTAACAACCAGGTTACTTACTGACTTAACAACTGGAGCCATTCCCTTCACCAGAAAAGTCATAAACTGGGGCAAAACCCACTTGACATAAATTTTGGATTGGGGTCATAAGTTGAGGACTACCTGTATTTTGTATTTTCTGCTTGAGCAGGGGGCTGGACTAGAGGATCTCCAGGGTCCCTTCCAACTCTGTTATTCTGCAAGGGTCTCCTGCCTGAACAGGGGGGTGGACTAGAGGACCTCCAAGGTCCCTTCCAGCTCTGTTATTCTGCAAGGGTCTCCTGCTTGAGCATGGGGCTGGACTAGAGGATCTCCAGGGTACCTTCCAGCTCTGTTATTCTGCAATGGTCTCCTGCCTGAACAGGGGGCTGGACTAGAGGACCTCCAAGGTCCCTTCCAGCTCTGTTATTCTGCAGGGGTCTCCTGCTTGAGCAGGGGGTTGGACTAGAAGACCTCCGAGGTCCCTTCCAACTCTGTGTTGTTCATGGCTCTTGGCTTTCTCCCATCTTGTGTCCCTAACAGGCCATGCGGGCACCCAGCCGGAACAAGGCGGGACTTGAACTGCTGACGGAATATTACAGCCAGCTCCACTTCCTCGACAACCGCTTCTTCTCGCCCAGTAACAACCTGGGACTTTTCTTCCATTGGTCAGTGGGCCTTTTCAACCTGGTATAGTAGAGAATCAATAGAAGAGAATCACTGTAGCTCGGGGTTGAACTGGGGGGTCCTGGGTGCTCTCTGAGCTGGGTGGTCTCCTTGCAGACGTTTCATGACCCGACTAGGGAACATCATCAGTGCTAGAAGGGAGGGAGTTTGGAGGATGGAGGAGGACTGTGGGATCCTTGGTGCTCTCTCCGTTTCGAGGTTTCCTTGCAGACATTTCATGACCCGACTAGGGAACATCATCAGTGCTAAAAAGGAGAGGAGTTTACACCTTCTAGCACTGATGATGTTCCCTAGTTGGGTCGCGAAACGTCTGCAAAAAAACCACCCAGCTCAGAGAGCACCAAGGACCCCACAGTCCTTTCCTCCTCCTCCTCCTCCTCCTCCTCCTCCCTGCAAACCCAACTCCCTTTAGCAATGATGATGTTCCCTAGCTGGGTCACAAAACATCTGCCAGAAAACCACCCAGCTCATCTAGTGAGCATCAGTGTCCCTCCCAGTTCAACCCCCAGTTACAAATATTCCTTTTTATTGGACCCTTTCCCTAAACTCTGATCTAGCGGGAAGCCGATCGGGGCCTCTGGAGCCCAGGAGCCCCCTCGTCGTTTCCCCAGCGCCGTGTGGTCTCACCGCTCTGCTCTAACCCTTTGCAGGTACGATTCGCTGACCGGGGTGCCTTCCCACCAGCGGGCCCTGGCGTTCGAGAAAGGAAGCGTGCTCTTCAACATCGGCGCTCTGCACACCCAGATCGCAGCCCGCCAGGACCGCACCACCCTGCAGGGGGTGGACTGCGCCATCGAAGCCTTCCAGAAGGCCTCTGGTACGGCGCCTATTCCAGCCTTTCCATTTAGGGGAGGGAGGGATTAGTGTTGTGATTCCTCGCCAGCCAGTGAACCTGGCAGCTGAGTCTGAGGACTCAGAGGAGGAGGAGGAGGAGGGGGCCTGGAGTGACATCAGAGTCAGAGGAAGGCTCTGAGGAGCTCCAAGACTTACAGTCGGACGAGGAGCCCGCCCCCTCTACTCGCACTCAGGCTGAGACACGGCTGTGCCGGGAGTCTGAGTTGGACAGTGATGAAGAACAGCTGGGACAAATCCCGGATGCACGAAATGCGCAGGCAGGAGAAGCGAGTAGGACAGAGGAATGCAATGGGGCGGCTCCAAAGGCAAAGGAGAGGGCATTAGGAAGCCACGCCTTGGCTGCATAACAAAAGGGAAGGTGTGGGAGGTGCTGATGGCCGAAGGCAGCCATTTGTGTTGAGGAATCGAATGTCTGGACTGTGTTTGTTTGCCTTGGACATGGACTCAGGTCTGTGAATAATAAAAGGGGGTTGGTTTTTCCCTGCAGTTCCAGCCTGCGTGTTGGAAGTGGGGTTTCTCCTTGTGAGCGTAACAAGGACTCACGTAGGCTGGGACAGAACAATTAGGCGGAGATAACATTGAGGTGGGATTCGTGCGACGTGGGATTCCCCACCAAGGTTACCAGGACGCAGCTCGATCTCCATCTTCTGAGCGTCCTCCACTTAGCGACTCGGAATTTCTGCCATCAAGCGAGGTTTTCTACGTGGGTCGTGCCCAACTGTGGCCCCCTTTGGGAAGCGAATCGCGGCGGTTATTAAGTGAATCGTGCCCTCGTTCAGCGAATGCAGCTCACTTGGGTCTCAGACGGCGGTCCCGTGATCCCCAGGACACGCTAAACACACGCCGGGTGCTTGAATTTGGGATACGTGGCTGTGGGAACGCTTGCAACGCGGTCGTCTCTTTTTTCCCCGGCGCCGTTGTAACTTCGAACGGCCACGCAACAGGCCGTTGTAAGCCGAGGACGACCGATCAGCACCTTGTGCCCAAGAAACAAACCTTTTCCCTGGCTGAATGAAATCTCCTCCGATTTCCCCCAACCTGTTAAGACAAGAGGTTTCCAAATGGGGCCACTTTACGACTTCTGGACTCCCAACTCCCAGGATTCCCTTGCTGGCTGGGGAATTCTGGGAGTTGAAGTCCACAAGTCTTCAAGTGGCCGAGCCTTGCAGAGCCCTGGGCTAAGACGATGGTGGGGCTCCCCACTAGACTGCAAATCACCCCAACTTGGTGGAGCTTAGTTTAACCCACAGTGCAAATCCAAGCCTTTCCCTTCCCCTTCTCCTCTCCCTCCCTCCCTTCCCATCTTCCTTCCTTTTTCCCTTTCCTTCCCCTTCTCGTGTCCCTCCCTCCCCTTCTCCCCTTCCTTTTTTCTTCCCTTTCCATCTCCCTCCCTCCCCTCTTTTCTCTCCCTTCCCCTTCTCACCTTCCTTTCTTCCTTCCCCTTCTCATCTCCCTCCCTTCCTTTTTTCCTCCCTTCCTTCTTCCCTTCCCCTTCTCCCTCCCTCCCCTTCCCCCTTCCTTTTTTCTTCCCTTTCCATCTCCCTACCTTCCTTTCTTTCTCCCTTCCCCTTCTCACCTTCCTTCCTTCCCCTTCTCATCTTCCTCCCTTCCTTTCCCCCTCCCTTTCTTCTTCCCTTCATCTTCCTTCCCCCCTTCCTCCCTTCCTCCTTCCCTTCCCCTTCTCATCTTCCTCCCCCCCTTTCTTCTTCCCTTCATCTTCCTTCCTCTTCCCATCTCCCTCCCTCCCTTTCTTCCTCCCTTCCCCTTCTCATCTTCTTCCCTTCCCTTTCCTTCCCTCCTCTTCCCATCTCTCTCCCTCCCTTCCTCCTTCCCTTTCTCATCTTCCTCCCTCCCCTTCTCACCTTCCTTCCTTCTTCTCTTCACTTACCTTCTTCCTTCCTTCCCATCTCCCTCCCT